ATAAGTTTATGGATTTAATTTTTTCTTTAATTTTTAAATCATCTCTACACCCACTGTAGGCCTCAAACCCACAACCCTGAGATCAAGAGTCACATGCTCCACGGACCGAGACAGCCAGGAGCCCCTATAATTTACAGATTTATGTTTAAGAATAAGCAAGTACTTTAAATAATAAATAGCATTAATAAAATTAAATAGTATTAGTATTAATAAGCAATCATTTAATTAGTTAACTTTGGTAGCTTTAATTACCAATGAGGAAAGCAACTTAATACTTCGAGTTAGCCAGACCTATACTTTGAATTTCCTCTCCACCATGTACTAACTAGATCTTTGGGCAAGTTCTCTGACTTCTCTAAGCTGCTGACCCCTCATATGTAAAATAAAGTAGTTGTACGAATGTGTGAGACAATACATGTAAAATAAATAAAAGATAATATATGTAAAAGGCTTGGGTGCCTGGGTGGCTCAGTTGGTTAAGCGACTGCCTTCGGCTCAGGTCATGATCCTGGAGTCCCGGGATCGAGTCCCACATCGGGCTCCCTGCTCAGCGGGGAGTCTGCTTCTCCCTCTGACCCTCTTCCCTCTCGTGCTCAAATAAATAAAATCTTTAAAAAAAATATATATATATATATATGTAAAAGGCTTAATAATTATTACATATATGATACACCTGACTTTAAAATAATTTTTAAAAATACAAACTGCAGAGGCACCTGGCTGGTTCAGTCGGTGGAGCACGTGACTCTTGATCTCGGAGTGTAAACTCAAGCCCCATATTGGATGTAAAGATTACTTAAAAATAAAATAAAATACAAACTTACAAATTTACTCCCTGCATTCCATCTCCATCATAGGCATATGCTAATTTTATTTATCCCATTCCATTTTCTAACATTCACTTCTGCATCTAGAAGGTATTAGCTTTCCACGACTAAAAGAGGAGTCTCTTACAAACCCACTAACAGCAACATAAATTCCAGCTACATACATGTAACCACCAGAGAAACTTAAGTAGGAGCGGAGCTCTGCCACTCTCACCCAACCAAAAGACCAGGACCCTTCCAAATGCTGTGGCAGCCAAGTCAGATCTGGGGCCATCAATCACTTAATGAACACTTATTGATACAAATTAAGAGTCAGACATGCAATTGAGGGAAGAAATATCTCATTTTCATATCTTTCCAAAAAAGTAATAAAAATAATTGTTGCTCTCATAAATTCACTATCCACAAAGACTATACGATAAAACATAATAATGTTACGTGACAAATGCTATGATAAGATGTCTGAAATACTAGGAGAACACAAAAGAGGAACTAACTCTTGCCTTCAAAGGGTAGGGAAGGCTTCAAAGAGAAATGACATCTAAATTGGATATTGAATGAAAAACAGGAGTTTGCCAGGGGGATAGCAAGGAGAAGCACCTTCTGGACAGAAGAAAGCTTTGTACAGAAGACTTGCTATTTCCATGATGTAATATTGTTTTATTTTGCAGAGGAGGGAGTGGTGGTGATAGTGGTACCTAGACTAGCACATAAGACTAGCAGAGGTGGCACACGGATGGGATATGAATACCATGCTAAGAAACCTACTCTGTCCCGAGAATAATGGAGAATATTAAGGAGTATGTGTGTGAGTGTGTGTGTGTGTGTGCGTGTGAGAGTGCGAGTGTGTGCGTGTGTGCGAGAGTGTGTGTGTGAGTGTGTGTGTGTGCGCGCGCGTGTGTGTGTACTGATCCAATTTGTATTGAGAAGACCAACGGCATGTGAAGATGGAAATTGGAGGCCGAAGACCAGTTTCCAGGTACTGTTGCTTATAACCCAGTAAAATCAATTTAATGGGTGACATCTTAAATTTTTCTTTATAATGAATTCAAATGGAATAGAAAATATCAGAGACTATCTGACATTGTAAGGACAAGTTTTACAACTATAATATCAGAGACGTGTGTGTTCTGGGTTGCAGAGTAAAATTCATTTGTTACTGTGGGTGATGGTCAAAAAAGTTTGAGACTGGATGAAGGGGTAAGGGAAAAGTCAAGGAGATCTCCCTGGTTTCTGGTGTGGATACCGGAATGGATTGCAATGCCATTGCCCAAGACAGGGAACAGAGGAGGAGGCCTGCCTTTATCAAGTCCACATTTGGATGCAGGAAAGCCCAGACAGCAACCTCTCTCAACAATTTTTCAGCGGCCACAGTCAATACTAATCTTATTCGACAAAGACAAAGGACACATAGTCATTGCAGCTGCAAGCTCATGTGAATACACAACTGATAAGGGACTTCTAGAAATTGAAAATACACAGAAAAACTTGAGAACTAGAGAAAGCAGACAGGATAAGGGAATCGACACCTCCTCCAGAGAACTAAAAGGATGTGAGAAATCCTGTCCCTATTCTAAGAGCCAACAGGGACCCATCACCCTTGGGAACCCAAGCAAGCTTTCTGAAAAGTCCACTGCCAGGGTATTCTGTTTATTGGGTTTATTTTTTTTCTTAGGGGATGGGAGGATTCTTTCTACTTTTGTAACTGCTTTCTAAGCTTCCCTAGCTCTCCCTCATACTACCACCTACAGGAGGTATTTCAACCCTACACACCTCTAAGAAGTCCACTGAGTCCTGTAATACTGGATATGGCTATCCCTCTGGCTAAGAGAGCAGGGCTGGAAAGAACATAGCTTCTCCACAGACTTGGACTGGATCCATTACTCCTCCTAATACCCCTCTCCCCTAGAAGAGAAAGTTTCCCAATTCTTCTTGAAGGATGACAGCACAATTGGGCCCCAAACTACATTTATGGCGACCCTTCCCATTAAAATTCCTCCACAAACGTGCTCTAGACACTTCAGACAAGTGGCTGTCCTCAAATACTCCATGTCCTTGCACATACGTTCTGTAGTTTGCTCCTGATATTCCCTCAACCTAAAATGCCCTCCTTTTCTCTGACAGAAATTCTACTCACCCTTCATGGTACATCTCAACATCACTTCTACCACAGAGCTCTTTATCCAATACTCTCCGCCCGCCACCACCACATTTGGATTTAGTCACACCCCCTTGTCCTTCCATAGTGTCTGCTTGTGCCCTGGGCACAACACTTCTTTCACTATCATCCATTATGGGCAATTGTGTTCTCTGCCTGTTATCTGCTAGACTAAGTTTCTAAAGGTGCATGCCATGTCATACCCTTCTCTCCAAAGCCCCCCAGTCCTTAACACACAGTGAGTTCTCAATAATGAGTTTCCCGATTCAAAGTGAAAAGCTACCACTTCATTCTACCAAAGACTGCAGATCCTAAGAACTAAAGAGGCAGTGTGGAGGGGAGGCCAAGTGTAGATTTGAAGCAGACAGCCTCCCTCCCCCTACTTAACTGGTAGCAGTACTCCCCACTCCTCTGAGAAATTAAAACCAACCTCAGCAAGGAAGATGCAGGAGGCATGTTGGGAAATGGTGGCTATCTTGAAGGAACTGTAAGTAGCTTCAAGGTTCTCCTGGCTACTATTAGTCAGGGATTGACCTTGGGATGTGGTTACAGGGATTATATATTTTATTTTGCCATCCACTCCCTCTAACACTCTGATACCTCTAGCTATATGGGCAATAAAGAGTCTTTCATACAAGCTCTGAATATTATCTTTGAGTTCCTCTGGGAACAGCCCAGCCTCCTCTCAGCCCTCCCACCTTTCCAATGAGTAATTCTGCAATGCCACCTCTGCAGTCCTCTCCTCTTGAAAAAGTGGTTTTCCTCTCAGCATATCCAGCTGCCCTCCCTAAACCTTTTCTTAATCCTCACCATTCGGACAGAAGGTAGTGTGCCTTCTCAGCTGCCTGACTAAAAGACAGTATATTTCAAACAATAGGCAGAACTCGTGAAGGTTTTGATAATTGTGGCTTCCTCTGTGGTCGCACAGGCACTACTTACTCAGATCTAGTATAGAACTTAGCCATTCCTATTTATCACTGACTATTTTAAATGTCTTATCTCCCTCGTTATATTGTGAGCTTCTTGAGAACCACTGCTAGTTCCCAGCAAACTGCCCGGGACATAGTGTGCACTCAATGAAGTACCCGCTTAGAAAAAATAACATAAAATAAATTGCTACCTTATGCCCCTCAGCCAATCTCAGTGACTATGTGAGTTCAGAAGAAGAAATATTTCAGAGGTGATCAAAACCAAAAAGTCTTTATATAGTAGTCAGTCCTGTGATGCAAAGCTCAGCTGAAGGCAGTCTCAAACAAGGGTCCTTTTGACAGGGCAACCATTCCCCACGTTCCTCAGATACTCACTATGGTCAGAGTAGTAAACATAGTTCTCCAGAATTTACTTTCCCAAGATCTGGCAGTTCAATAAATGCATTCCCCAGCCCCCACTTCAACGTCTCTCCTATATCCTTCTGACCTTTAATACTGTGTAACATTAGATGAAAAATTGATTTTTTTTGGCTACTTAATTTGCAGCTGAAGAAAAAATATACTGTTTAAGGTGTTAAATATTTTTACATGCAACAAACCTGGCATGAATCTAACCTGTATGCACATTTTAGAGGTACAGGCGTAAATGTCAGTGCTATAATTTGTTATAGGTTTCTGATGACCAGCAATGAAAATGACCACGGATTCTCACAATTCAAACCACTTTTACGTAAATGTGAACTTTCCTAAAACAGCCAAGGGAGAGAACTTTCCATCCAAGCTCACAGAGTCTCTTAGAGATACTGATAGCATTGTTCACCAGGCTAGGTGTTCTTTGAGAAAAGCCTACAAATATTAGTTTCTTTCTGGGACTATGCTTTGACCTTTAATAAAAATGTGATTTAAGACACTAGTTAAAAAAAAAAAAAAAGACACTAGTTATTAAAATGAAAGGAACAGTTTTTAATGCCTGAACAACTGCCATTTCATATAATCAGCCCTGCTGAAGGCTATACCTTACAAGTTAGCCGTGTTTCAAAAAAAAAAAAAATACATTTGGTGACTTCATTTAAATTGCTCACTTACCAGACGTGAAGCAGAGTTATGAGAAACCATGAATTGAATGTATCAGGCATCTGACACCCTAGAAAAAAACAATAAAGTATAAATATGTGAGGGTTTAGAGAAGGAATGTTGACTGTATTTTAAATATTGGTAGGAATCTGTTCAACTCAAATATATGGCAGGTACAGTGCTCTTTGATTATGCGACCACAGAGAGGGCCAGTGGAACCACAGGACGAGACAATGGGTTGAAAGAGCACTGAATGCAGTCAGACAACCAGCCTTCTAGTTCCAGCCCCAGTACCACTTTGCTGTGTGGCCTTGGGCAAATCACTTTTCTTCTCAGATGCTCAGTTTTCTCACTTCGTATAATGTGGCCTAGATGATCTGTATGGTTCCTTCCAACTTACATGCTATTTTCCCGTCCTGGTCTCAAATTCATCTGGAAAGCTCGGCATACACTACTTTGCCTACCCCACTTAAGTATAGGCATTTTTCACTGGAGCCCCACTGAGAAGTCTAAGTACTTCTAGTTTCTTTTTCCTGTCTTTCTTCTTTAAGGCGACCCAGTATGCTACAAACATGGGTATGCAGAATGATTCACCCAAAATAAATGACCAGGAGAAAGAAGTGAGGCTCTAGGGAGCTGTAGTTAAATGAGAAAGCAGATCACATCTAATGAAAGGCTATTCATCGCCCCCCAGGAATGACAAAACTTTAAGATACTAAAACTCGGGTCAACGCTTAGACATCCACGCCTCTCGGTTCTCAGACCGCTAGGAGATACCACTGGCTAGATGAGGGATCCCCACTGAATGCCCCCTACCTATTACATGGCACGGAGAAATGCTGGAGCAAGAGGATGAAGAAAAGTGAGTATCAGTCAATTTGGGCCCTTTGGGTAGAATCCGCCCTTTGAGCAATGACTCAAGAAAAAGGGGATATTTTCTGCCTCGCAGCAAACAATACAATGTACTTCGTCGATAACAAACTGGGGCCACTGGGAAAGAAAACACAGAGCAGAACCTCTGTGAAGCACACTAATACTACCAATAATAAAGAGTTGTAAATCCTTGCAGGCTTACTTTGTGCGAGACATTGTAATTGATGCTTACGTGCATCTCAATGAATTCTACCAACAGGCCTATCGGGTGGGTATTCACAATACCCTCAATGACAGGTGAGAAAATGGACTCTTAGAGAGACACCATGACAATTGCCCAAGGTCACACAGCTATGAAATGAAACATCTAGGATCAAATTCAGATCTGCTTGATTTTAGGCACTGTCGTCTTAATCGCTAACTGCTTCTCTAATACTAATATTAGAAACTAACATTCACTAAGGGCCCGTATTTCCTGTTAGGTCCACTGCTACTCATGTCAATACATTATCTCATTTAATCCTCACTTTAACCCTGAAGGGAGGCATTACAATCCTCATTTAGAGATGAGGAAACAGGCTCAAAAAGGCTAAGTAACTTGAGGGCAGCCACAATATAACAAGCTAGTGGTTGGGCTGAAGTTTAAGTCCAGGTCTGTCACAGAGTGACACCAAAATACTCTGGTGAGCTTACTAGGAGGTGCCCAGCAGTTGTCAAGTGGACTTCCTCTTGGAACCCAGCAGGAGGGAGGTGAAGGCTGGTCTGGCCAACCATACAGCTATTAAGACACATGCCATCTGAGAGTGGGCCAACCACCCTCCACCAAACAAGAATAGCCATGAGAAACTCTCAAGCCCAGATCTGAAGTTGGGTCTTTTTTGGATGCTAGAACAAAACATTAAAAAGAAAAGTTTTCTTGGAAATCTGTCTTTCAATCTGGAAAACGAAATTTGGCTGCTTCTAAAGGACAATCTGTTCAATTGCTACCTCTACATCAAAGCTTCTCAGCAGCCTCCAGGAGCCTTTCCAATTCTCTCAGAGAGGGAATCAATTCTTGGGCTGGAAAGCACAGACAGACAGGCCAGCAGCTGGACTTGGGTCACAATTTTCCATTCCGGGGGTCGGCTCAGGGCTAATGATGGGAAAAGAGCTGGCATACTGACTCCCTGTACCCAATGGAGTCAGAACAGAAACTCACAGGGTAAAGCCCTAAGAAACAAGACCACTGAATGTCTGACCATAAGCATCACAAAAACACAGAAGATCTCCAGCTCAATGAACTATGTTTAAACACCTCAAAGTTAAAAGCTGTTATTGTCTTTTGTCAAGATCACACTCTTGCACCAATACACACTCATTGCATTATTTTCTGAGGCTAGGTACTTTCTTCCTCAATACCAAGTTGGATAAAATTAAATAATTCATCACTGTTATGGAGTGGCAGTATTAACACAGTTGTTTGTTTAATGCAGGCTCTGGGGTCAGACCTCCCGATTCAAAACCCTGACTGGACCTCTTCCTTGCTACGTGACTCTGTGTAAAGTTACTTAGCCTTCTCTGCGCCTCAGCTGTCTTCTCTGTCAAAATGGGGAGAACAAGAGAACCTACCTTATAGGAATTTGTGAGGATTAAATGAGATAAGGCCTGTAAAATGTTTAGCAAAATGGCTAATATTTCATAGGTACTCAATAAATATTTACTATTGTTGTTTCTCGGTGAATTATTTAAACACTAGGGTTTAAAATATCTTAAATAGCTCGCCATTTAAGACTGTGTCAATAAAATGATGAACCTCAATCACTGACTCAGAACTTATTCATTAAGGAGCCTCCTCTCCAAGGTATTAAGTCTCTTAAGAGCTAAAGACAAAGCAGTTTTCATACAGTACAGAATTTCAGTATGGAATTAAACCCAAACTTTACTGATTGGCCCCATCTGTTCCAAAGTGTTCCTCATAACAGAACCGATCTCCAAAAGACCAGTTAGCAAACCACTGCAGGCTCACAGAGGTTATGCTCACTGACGCCACAAATGACCTACACCATCAGAACATCTTGGAAACAACAGGGGGCTGGCTGTTAATCTCAACAGTCAGAATCCCCAAGGTCTAGGTCTCTGGATCAAGAAAGACCTCTGAACACGTTAGAGAGTCTATAACTTGGGCACTTTATGGGGGCCTATCCAAGAAGCTATAGGCTTATTGTTTACTCACAAGCACACTGTGAGTAAACAACTCATTCTTACACAATCTTCATGAATTAACACTGGCCTTACTTTTGTTGGAAGAGTAAGGATGACAGTGCTGAGCTACCTAAGCCTCTTTATCCTTTTTAAAAATTACTGAATGCTCAGGACTCTAAAAGTCAAGCCCTAAAATACCAAAAATCCAAGGGAGCAACAGCCACTTTAAAGGTATAATCTTGGGAAGTGATATATATATTCTCTTCTTTTACCCCAAACCTGCCTGGCCTACTCTTTAGAACCTTCCTTTAGAAGATGCAAGAAAGTCTCATTGTTTCATAGATATTTATCTGCCTCCAAATAGTATTTTTCAAATTGGCTCCCTTTTTTATTCCTAGCCACAGTTCAGAACCACTTTGGTTTCCTTTTAAAATTTACTCTACCCACAAATGACAAAGATGGACCACGGTGGAGCATGATACAAATGAACAAGCCGTAAGTCTAAAAGGCAATTCTTAAATTGAGTCTTAAAAAACCTTAAGCAAGAGTGGCGTCACTGAAAAATGTACTGCTTCCTCAGGTAACTACTTCAAAGGGCAAAGCTAGAACAAAGCTTACTGAGGTGAACATACTCTAATATATGTAAACATCAGTTTATAATACTAATAGAATGTCGCCTAGAGGTAGTTCTTATTTGAAAACAGTAACATACAAAAATGTTAAAATGGATTATAATTCTAATTTGCAGTTACATTCTTTCACAGGCCATATGTTATAGTGGAAAAATTCCTGGCTTTTAAGCCAGACAACATAGGATCAAGCCTTAGCTAAGCAACTTTGGGAAATCACTTAGCCTTTTAAGTTTCAACTGTTTCTGAAAAGAAAATAAAAATGAAAACAAGAATACAAGTCCTTCCTATCCTACAAGGTTTTGTAACTCCTAAATGAGACAAATGTAAAAGCATACCATGTAAATGTAAATTATTAGCATATAATGGTAATAATTTGTATTAACTTTTATTTTTATAAGTAGATTACAACAGATTATACATTGAAACATGACATGTTACCTTAAATATGTAATAATAATCTCATTATTCAATCTATAATATTAACTCAAGGATCTTTAATAATGAGGACTGGCTAAGACAAAGATAACTAGTAAACATCATTTCAAAATAATTATAAATTTATGAGTTATTTATGGAATCAAATATTAAACAGATATCTGAGGATGAAGATTTAAAAAGATCTGATGAAAAATATTTAGGGACATGTATTCTAGAAATCACTTAAGAAAAATCCAGCTTCGGGGCACCTGGGTGGCTCAGTTGGTTAAGCAACTGCCTTCGGCTCAGGTCATGATCCTGGAGTCCCGGGATCGAGTCCCACATCGGGCTCCCTGCTCGGCGGGGAGTCTGCTTCTCCCTCTGACCCTCTTCCCTCTTGTGCTCTCTAACTCTCATTCTATCTCTCTCAAATAAATAAATAAAATCTTTAAAAAAAAGAAAAATCCAGCTTCTTATGGGGTGCCTGGGTGGCTCAGTCATTAAGCGTCTGCCTTCAGCTCAGGTCATGATCCCAGGGTCCTGGGATCGAGCCCTACATCGGGCTCCCTGCTCCGCGGGAAGCCTGCTTCTCCCTCTCCCACTCCCCCTGCTTGTGTTCCCTCTCTCGTTGTGTCTCTCTCTGTCAAATAAATAAATAAAATCTTTTAAAAAAGAAGAAGAAAAAGAAAAATCCAGCTTCTAATATTAATAGTTTCTTCATTTTTTTTTTAAGATTTTATTTATTTATTTGACAGAGGGAGAGATCACAGGTAGGTAGACAGACAGGCAGGCAGAGGGAGAGAGAGAAGCAGACTCCCCGCTGAGCAGGGAGCCCAACGTGGGGCTCAATCCCAGGACCCTGGGATCATGACCTGAGCTGAAGGCAGATGCTTAACCGACTGAGCCACCCAGGCGCTCCAGTAGTTTCTTCATCAAATAAATAAAGAATATTTTCTCCTTTCAACTAATTTCTCCTAAAATGAGAAATTTTTAGAGATTAAAAGGAAGCAGGAAAGTTTACTTTTGTCCCCATGAATAAATAAGAAACAGAAGGTAGACACTAAATCAGGATTACAACTCAGTAGGGTATTTTAAGTTTCTAACATAACATCAATCTGCTGAAATTGTAAAATCACCAAAACAACTTGCATTTGGTTTTAAAAAACCAAAATAGTGATTAAATAATCCAAACAGCATCTAGCTATCTTCCTTGTTATTAACATAATTCTATATAAATATTTGCTCTCCATGAAAAATATCAAATATATACAGTTAAGTGTTTGTGGCTTGCAGGATAATGGCTGTTACCACAGATGTGCAAAGCACACATTTCTTTCCAAAATCTGTAGAACCAGGAACAGCTTAAACTTTCTTTTTTTTTTTTTTTTAAAGATTTTATTTATTTATTTGACAGAGAGATAGAGAGCACAAGTAGGCAGAGTGGCAGGCAGAGGGAGAGGGAGAAGCAGGCTCTCTGCTGAGCAGGGAGCCGGACATGGGGCTCGATCCCAGGACCCTGGGATCATGACCTGAGCCAAAGGCAGCCGCTTAACCGACTGAGCCACCCAGGCGCCCCCAGCTTAAACTTTCCCAGTTACTTTATAAGTACCTGCTTTAACTAACTTTATTTATAACTAAACAGTTTACAGAATCAAAATGAATCCTATATTGATATAATCAAATGATAATTGTGGTCTAAACCAGTAAAACCCTTTTGGAAAACAATTTATCAATGGGATATAAAAAATAAAATTATATATATATACACACACACACACATATATATATACCTTTTGACCCAATTATCCTTCAACAGAAATAAAACAATCATTAGGAATCAACCAAAACAATTAAAAACTAGAAATAAAAGAGGAATGAATGATTGGCAGAAAGTTCATTTCACATCAAAATGCTCAGTAAAACCACCAGAATGTAAACAGGATTTGTTTACTATGAGTACTCATATGTAAAAAGATGCATGTGTGGAAAAATGTCAAAGTACTAGACAAATTTTTAGGTTTCTTCTCTTTTCAAACTTGTTAAAGTGTCTTATTCATAGGGTTTCTTGCCCTTGTTTATTCTATTAAAAGATAAAAATAAGCAGCTTTTATTACACACTCTGCACAGGAAAAATTGTTTCACTAATGACTCAAAACCGATACAGTCATAAAAATGAAAAATAGATTTTTTTTAAGATGTTATTTTTAAGTAATCTCTACACCCAACATGGGGCTCGAACTTACAACCCTAAGATCAAGAGTCACATGCTCTACCGACTGAGCCAACCAGGCACCCCATGAAAAGTAGATTCATTTTCCTTTTCAGAACTATCAAAAACAATAACTTACTTAGAAAGAATTCCTCGAAGTCAGTTTTCTCCACACAGCTAGTATACATGCGCAGGGCCGCAATCTTAATCTTCTAGACAAAAAAAAATAAAACCAAACTCAAGATATGACCAAGTATGTTCTAGTGCTATCAGATGTAGGTCACAACATCTTCAACTAGGAGGATAAGTCCAAACCTATCTCTAGGCAAATTTAATAGCTAAACCAACATAGATTATTTCTTTCTTAAAGCTAACCATTCACAAACCTCACATTTTATGATTTAGCATCAAAATGTCAAAAAGAGGGCGCCTGGGTGGCTCAGTTGGTTAAGCGACTGCCTTCGGCTCAGGTCATGATCCTGGAGTCCCGGGATCGAGTCCCGCATCGGGCTCCCTGCTCAGTGGGGAGTCTGCTTCTCCCTGTGACCCTCTTCCCTCTTGTGCTCTCTATCTCTCATTCTCTCTCTCTCTCTCAAATAAATAAATAAAATTAAAAAAAAAAATGTCAAAAAGATTTTTCCAATATTTAAATGAAATCTCTCCTTTAATTCAAACTCACTTCATCAGTGAAGGCTCTAAACCACTGTTTGGCATCACTCACATTAACTCTTTATATTCTGAAACCCCTTACATCAAAAAATTACCCATTCTTCTGACCAAAATCAAACACACCAAAAAAAACCCTCAATCTTTCAACCTTACCTCAGAAGCACTACTATCTATTCTGTAAGTCTTTTTTATACCTTGGGGAAAGAGTTATTTTTTTCTATATTTTCCCTAGTTTTATAGTTTGCTGATTAAGACTGTGCTTACAAATAAGGGTTTTTAATGAATGCAAAATATAGTAAAAGGATCAACATTTTACTATTCCCCAAAGCACTAAAGAATTCTCTTAGAATCTTGATCTGAGTGGTGGTTTTAATTTATTCACTGTATACTTAAGATCTGCATATTTTACTGTATGTATATTATGCCTCCATAAAAACAGATCTAAAAGTGAAAAATAAATTATTTTAAAAGTTAAACTGTAGGTCTGAAGACCAACTCAGTGCTAAAGTAAGGAAGTATTCCTAGGGACTTCCAAAATATTTCTTTAAGGATACAATTAAATAAATTAGCCCATCCACAGAGGCTTATAGAAGCTTATTTTTTCTTAAAATGATAGAAAATTACAAACTCAAATATGCAGACTAAAAAAAAAATGCAGAAACAAAATAAAATAGCAACCGAAGAAAAAACAATCTGGAACTTTAGTAAAATTATGTTATTAAGGCTCAAAGTCACCAAAAATATACCATATCCAATACTATATAATGCTCATTTCTCAATACACTCTAGGATCAAAACAGCAATGTCTCTAACAGGCAGAAGTACCCAGAATAAAGTTAAGGGATTATGTCTGTAATTGTAATCAAGATTTTTTTCTTTGCTAATTTGAGGTCTGTCATGTTTTCAAGTCTTTTAGAGTAAAGCTCATATAGGGGAAAACAGAATAAACATAACAACTGAAAAACAGATATATCTACATGGGAATAAATCAGCAATAGAAGCCAATTTAAACAAAACCTATGGTAAGACACTAAAAAAGAACAGCAAATTAAACCTAAAAGCAAGCAGAAAGAATGATATAATAAAGAACAGAGATCAATAAAATTGGAAACAGAAAAATAGCACAGAAAATCAAAGAAGCCAAAGCCGGTTCCTCAATAATATCAGTAAAATTGATAAAACATTAATAGAACTGATCAAGGAAAAAAGAAAAAACAGAGAAGATAAAAATTAGCAGTATCAAGAATCAGAGAGGGTATCACAATATATCCTAATGATATTCACAGAATAATAAGGGACTATTATGAACACCTTTAGGACAACAGATGTGTTATTAGAGAAAATGGAGAAATTCCTTGAAAAAACACAAACTACCAAAACTCCCTAGAATAAATAACATGAATAGTCCTACATCTATTAAAGAAATGGAATTTGTGATAAAAAAAAAAAATCTTGGGGGCGCCTAGGTGGCTCAGTTGGTTAAACGACTGCCTTCAGCTCAGGTCATGACCCCGGAGTCCTGGGATCGAGTCCCACATCAGGCTCCCAGCTCAGTGGGGAGCCTGCTTCTCCCTGTGACCCTCTCCCCTCTCATGCTGTTTCTCTCTCTCTTGCTCTCTAATAAATAAATGAACAAAATCTTTGAAAAAAAAAAAATCTTCTCCAAAGAAAACTCCACACTCAATGGCATCACTCAACATCACTCAATGTTTCTCCCAAACACCTAAAGAAATTATACTAAATCTACATAAACTCTTTCAGAAAACAAGAAGGAAGAACATTTCCTAGCTCCTTCTATAAGGCCAATATTACCCTGATATCAAAAACAAAGTCACTAGAAGAAAATAAAACTATAGAACCACAGCCTCCATGAATATAGATGCAAAAATCCTTAACAAAATATTGACAAATCAAATCCAGCAATATTTTTTTTAAAGATTTTACTTATTTATTTGACAGAGACAGAGATAGAGCAGGAACACAAGCAGCGGGAGTGGGAGTGGGAGAGGGAGAAGCACACCCCCCCCCCCCCCCCCCCCCGAAGGGAGACCGATGTGGGGCTCAATCCCGAGCCGAAGGCAGATGCTTAACTGAGCCACCCAGGTGCCCTCCAGCAATATTTTAAAAGGACAATAAATCACAACCAACTGGGACTTATCCCTGGAATGCAAAGCTGATTCAACATTAACAAATCAATTGGTGTAATTCACCATATTAGCAGGCTAAAAAAGACGCCTGCTGTTAACTTTGTTAACATCTGCAGCTCTAGGAAGTACTTGACACAGAACACATTTTGGGAAGTACTGGTCTGTATCATCATCAAACTAATGATATCCTCATATTGTTATCCGAATGCTTTGGCTTTGACCAGCCTATTTCTATGCTTGAGACAGGGAGTTTAGGACATCTATTAGCTCTTCACTTCAGTCAACAAATAGTTTATTGAGTACCTAACTCAAGTACCTGATGTGGATCTGGATGTTGTGAATAGAGCAGTAAACAAAGAAGTCAAAAACTCCTGCTTTCATGAAGCCTACCGCCTACCTCAACTATAGACACATTGATAATTTTTTTTTTTTTGCCTGTAACATAGGAGAAGACACTCAACTTTATCAGTAACCAGAGGAATGCAAATTAAATCAAAATACCATTTCACACCATCTAATTGGTAAACATTAAACAGTTTGACAGTATCAAGTGTTGATACTGAACCTTTAAACCCTAGCTGATGGACATAATAAATTGATAAAACTGATGATTATAATTTAATGCAGTTAATACACTAGTACCCAGTAATTCCATCTCTCTCTCAAGAAACTCCTGCACAATTTAAAAGGTACTGTCATTATGAAAAGGCTAAAACAGCTTTCTTTGGTAGAGGAATAGATAAGCTGTAGTTTAATTATACAATGTGAAGCTATTAAGCAGTGGAAATGAAAAAACTCAGATCTCCACTCAAAAACATAATGTTGACTAATAAAAACAGGTTGAAAAGTGAGATACCACTTACATAGTTTTTATGAATACAATACATAATAGTATATACGTTGTTTATGGATAGTATATGAGTGGTAAAAGAACAAAAATGTACAAGGGGATGACAAAAATCAACTTTAGAACGTAATTATCTCGGTGGAGAAAGAAAGAAAAGAAAGGAGAAATGGGCTGGTTTATTTTCTGTAAAAGTTTATCTTGGAAAAAATAAAACCAAAGCAAATATGGCAAAAATTAGTATCTGTCAAATATGGGTAGTGGTATATAAATGTCAACACATTTACAATTTTAAGTAAAATTCCTAATGGCTTGTTTATTTTTTTCTCTAACTCCACAGTTTCCTTCAGATTCTCACATAGAGAGTTCTCTAGGTTGATAATTAATCATTCTGCCTGAGAAAGGCGTATTTGCCACCAAGACCCAAATCTTCCCTTAAGAAGGTTTTCCCCCACAACATGTTCATGAAGAAAGCCTTCATTACAAATAATGAAGACTTCACCAGACTGGCCAGGGTATTTATACACTGCTCATAATGTGGCAATCAGGAGCATTTTATAGTTCCTCACTTTTCCTGCAGTGAAGCCAAGCCTTTATACTTGGGTGAGCCATTTTCCTGGACAAATGTCTAAAGCAAGTCCCCTAAGACCATCACAGAGGGACTGGAAATAACAACTTGGGGAAAGAATTTCTTCCAAGATTCATGCATTAATATAAGCTAAAGAGGTAGGTGGACTAAATTCCACCCAGTCAATACAAATCGTTCTGGTTCTCAGAAGACTTCATGTTTATTTCATTCTAACTCTGGAAGACTTCATCAGTGTCCCTGATGAAAACACAAGCACCTCAGACAGCTTTAAGAAATGAAAATCAGCTCTCCCACTGACTGATGCATCTTGTGCCATCTTACAAGATGAAAAATGAATGCAATAAAAGGTTTGCCCTAACAGCTGTGTGGAAGTTGGAGGGGCTTTGAAGTCATTTGAACCTTCTATTCTGTACTGGAATTCCTTCTACAGCATTCTTGATTCATAGTCAACCATCTGGGCCACTGTTCAAACAAGTCCAATGACCTTGGGAGGTTACCTATCCCCCTGAAGGACAGTTCTTGTTAGATTTTTGTTTTATGAATGTAAATCTGCTTCATGTAACATTCACGAAACATCCACTGCCCAGTGGAATACTTTAGTTAGATTAAGTCTCTTTATTTTTTATTTTTTTATTTTTTTAAATACCTGAGAAGAATAATCATGTCCTCTCTTTTCCAGGGTAAGCATCCCTATTTCCTTCAACCACTCTTCATCCAACACAGTTCCTGAAGCCTTCACAAGGCTCACTACCCACTTTTTTTTTTAAGATTTTATTTATTTATTTGACCGAGAGAGAGAGTGACAGAGACAGTGAGAGAGAGCACAAGCGGGAAGGAGCGGGATAAGCAGGCTCCCGCCAAGCAGGAAGTCTGACATGGGGCTCGATCCCAGGACCCTGGGATCATGACCTGAGCCGAAGGCAGACGCTTAACTGACTGAGCCGCCCAGGCGCCCCATCACTGCCCACTTCTGAATGCATTCCAGTTTGACAGTATCCTTCAGAACAGAAATAATTTTTTGGCTTTATGCTAATCTGGAAATTGCCTATTCTATGACATGTGACTGAACCTGGGAAATGTTGTCCTTGTCTTAACTGATATTGCTACATAAAGATAATGGAAAAGAACGATTTCAGGACAAACAAGTAAGAAAAAGCTACATTTAAATTCCTAAATATGAATCTAGAAGAAAAATGAAACTACATATGAAAATGCTACAGAAAAAAATGGAGGAAAGATGGTTGATACTGCTGATGTCAAACAGATATTTTACTCCCTAATGAAAGACATGTGAAAACACAAAACTCAAAGATCTTTCCAGTGCAATCCAATCCAAGTGTCTAGTCAAAGATAACTAAGTCAACACTTACTGAAAAAGGCTTGCAATCTTTCTATTTATTTGAAAGAGAGAGAGAGCAGCAGAGGGAGAGAATCAGACTCCCCGCTGAGCAGGGAGCCCAATGTGGGACTCAATCCCAGGACCCTGAGACCATGACCCGAGCTGAAGGCAGAAGCTTAACCGACTGAGCCACCCAGGCACCCAGGGCTTGTAATCTTTCAAAATGGGAAGTTATACCTATGTTTTCCCACCCAAATTATACTAGAATGTCATACTTTGACATTTTGATATCACAAATTAAAAAATGAAGGTTACAGAAAGTAGACACTGCCACATCATAAAGCCTTTTAAAATGAAAATATTAGGTGAGGTCACAAAGGAACCAAGAAAAATCAAAGGCTAACTTAAACTACAACAGTGAAGAAATTTTCCTGATGATTTAGTAATCCTCCAAATGGTAGCCAACTTTCCCTCTGGAATCATAAAAAAACAGACTAGACAAAGCAATGGTAGCAACCAAGCAGAACTCAACCATCAAGAAATGAATAAAACAGTATATTTTTCCCTTTTTTTTCTTTCTGCTCTCACTTCCCTTTTCTTTTAATTAATTTCTAATTTTCAAACAAAACACATATTTTAAGTTTTTGAATCCAAATGCCATAATCACAAATCTTTTTTCATAAAAGATTCTTGTTAAACACATTACCAAATATACCAATGATTATCATGCTTGCTTTGGCAGCACATATACCAATGATTATCATTTGACAAAATATTAAGATGTAAAAAAGATAACTTTAATGAATATAACTAATATTTTGCTGATGATTAAGAAGGCACTTCATAATCTTAGGGTCTCAAGAACATCATTATTACCTAGTATATGTGTTATCTTCTATACTTTTCAAAGCCCCTTAAAAACAAAATGTTTGTGGAATCACCATTTGCTTTCCAGAATTTATGTAAAAGAGAGATTATAGGGAAAAGCCTATACTTGCTGCAGTGAGAATCTTAGGAAGAGAACCAAACCTTGCAAGGAGAAACTACAAGTCTGTAATAAAACTGAAATTCTAATTTGAATCCATCCTGTTAAAATGGTATAACTGGCATTATTTGATCATTTGGGGCAAAGCTATGATGTTTTCTAGAAAAGTCCTCCCTACTGCTTTGTGTTGACTTGCTTTGATTAACATATAACTTACGACTGATTAGACTTATCCAACATTCTAGCAACCTTGAGAAGTATTAAAAGGCACTTCTGCTATAAAGTTAGAGAGAAATGCTAGCACCAGGAGATAACTGGGCTAATATTTTATTACTTTAATTGGTTAGAGGCACTGTTATAAAAACCCAGGGGCGGGCGCCTGGGTGGCTCAGTTGGTTAAGCGACCGCCTTCGGCTCAGGTCATGATCCTGGAGTCCCGGGATCGAGTCCCACATCGGACTCCCTGCTCAGCGGGGAGTCTGCTTCTCCCTCTGACCCTGCTCTCTCTCTCTCAAGTAAATAAATAAAATCTTAAAAAAAAAAATAAATAAAAATAAAAATAAAAACCCAGGGGCAAATATGCACCTGATGCAGAGAAGACATTCATGAATTTATAGCAAATAATGTGCTAGGCCAAGACTTGACTAGGAATGACACAGCTAGCAAATATCCCTCCATAATAAGAATTATAATAAATTACAGAATTAATTAATTTAAAAGTGCTTATTAGTAAAATTTTAACAAAAGTCACCATAATGACCTAGTGAAAAAAAATCATTTATGAATATGGATTCATCAAAGAGTAATATTTCTTAAGAATGCTACCCATCCAAACATTTGGCCCATCTACTTCCTTATAACTCATTTGTATGGCATATCATGTAGCAAGAGCCTGGAAAGCCCAGTCTTATTGGCTTGACTTGTCCTGAGATACTTCTAAGGAATCAGGTTAAGGGAACAAAGTATTCCAGATCCACATATTACATAGATCTGACTCGGAATGGGGGATGGGGGGAGGGACAACACATTTCAATGCTCTCAAAATAATGTATGAATTTCACAGAAACAAAGCAGAAGCTTTACAAAAAACCTATTAAGGAGCAGAACACCCAAAGCCCAAAAAGAAAATAAGAAGAATTTAAAAAGATTTTACCCATTTACTGTATTTCAAAGGTCCTGTAAATCCCATGGCTTCTATTATCTTCGTGAAGGCACCAACCTTCTCCTCAACAGGCTGTGGGGAATCCTTGGTAGTAGAAAGCTATTTCATCAAAAAGAAGGGGACAAAATTAGTTGCAAGATAATTTTTTAAAAAGATTTATTTGGGGTGCCTGGGTGGCTCAGTCAGTTAAGCGTCTGCCTTCGGCTCAGGTCATGATCTCAGGGTCCTGGGATTGTGTCCTGCATTGGGCTCCCTGCTCCACGGAGAGCCTGCTTCTCCCTCTCCCTCTGCCTGCTTCTCCCTCTGCTTCTTTTTCTATCAAATAAATATATAAATAAAATCTTTAAAAAAAATAAAAAATAAAAAGATTTATTTATTTGGGGGGGCAGAGGGAGAAAAAGTCTTTTTTTTTTTTTGGAGAGAAAGAGCATGAGCAGGGGGAGGGGCAGAGGGAGAGGGAGAAGCAGACTCCCTATTGAGCAGGGAGTCCCACAAGGGGCTCAATCCCAGAACCCTGTAATTATGACCTGAGCTGAAGACAGACGCTTAACCAACTGAGCCACCCAGGTGCCCCCAGAGAGAAAGTCTTAAGCAGACTCCTCGCTGAGTGTGGAGCCTGACGTGGGGCTCTATCTCACCACCCTGAGGATCACTACCTGAGCCAAAACCAAGAGCTGGATGCTTAACTAACTGCGCCACCAAAGCACCCCGCAAAAGAATTTTTTAAAAAAGAATGCTTTTGTTTCTTATTAGATCTAAGGGTATTTTTTATTGCTTAGATTTTTTTTTTCACCTAGAATTTCTAATTCTCATTTTTCTGGGCATCTTATCACTCAGTGCAAATACATCTGGAACTCTAATAGGTATCCTTCAAATTTTAGAGCCACCTCATATGCCTATGAACCCATGTTGAGGAAATGACAGATCTGAGCTATGAGAATAAAAGTTCTATGGAAAAGAGTACTTTTAAAAGGAAATCTTGACCCGCATCTCTCAAAGAAGAATTCTGAGAAGAAGAATGCTCTATGTTTTTAACATAACAGGAAAAAGAAAGAAAACTCCTGTCTGAAAGCAGTCAAAGGTCATTCAAAATCATAATCAACCAAAGCAAGCACTGAATAAATGTTCCTAAACTTGTATTTTTTATTATAACACATTTATTTATGACTATCGAAGATATGAATCTTGCAGTTTGCAAATAAACTCCAAGAAAAACCTATTCTACGCTAAGCCTCTCCAAATGAAGGGAGGCTATATAATCAATAAGAAATTCTCCAAAAGTTAATTAAACACATTATGTTTTAACATATAAAAATCTTTACATTACTTTTAACATATAAAAAATCCGTAACAACTTTCTTCTCTAAAGTGCTTTCCAAGCAAGGCAGTACAACAGAAGAAATACAGGACACAGGATCAAAAGCTTTAGGTTCAAATATTCAGTTGGTCTATCACTTATCCTTGTGACCTCGGGCAAGTCACTTCACTTCTATGAGTCTCACCTTCTGCATTCAATAAAATTCCTTCCTTCATCCAGCTAACAATTTTGCTGAGGTTCAAATAAGAAGACCTGTGTGAAAGCAGTCTATAAATGTAGAGAACACTAATAATTCTCACCTTATTTGTGGTGTGATACTTCCTACTCCACTGAACATCTATCCCAGGAATCTGTTCTGATCCACCACATTCTAGGGACTGGCTCATCTGAGGCCACTGGGGGATAAAAAAAAACCGATGTAAGCAACAGAGAGCATTACTCTGAGTAGAGCTGCTTCAAAGTAAAGACTATAGAATCTTTCCAGCTTTGCTTAACCTAGTTCCTGGTGATCTGATCACTAAAAGAATCCAAGATGGGCACCTAAAATTGTGCCTGGTATGCAGTAGGTACTCAATAAACATCTGCTGGATACCTGAATAAATAAAAGGATTCAGTCCTGGAAACCTGGAACTAAATAAATCTGAGTCAACTCTAGGAACTAGAGTTGCAATAAAGACCTACCTAAACATTGGCAGCAGTGTGGTATAAGGGAGGAAAAAAAAGACTCTTAACAATCAATTTTAAGTTTAAAGCCTGCTTCTGCCACATATAAGCTAGGTGGCCATGAGCAACTTACTGAACCTCAGTTGTAGGGAGGACTGAAGAAGATAACACATGTAAAGTACCTTTCAACAAAATACTTAATAAATAGGAGCTTCCATCCTTACCATAATCACCATCATTGTTGGTCAGATCAGAATTGCCTTCCTTTTATGTTCCCATTGCACTTGAATGTACTTTGGTAATAAAACAGCCATTATTTACAATTTTCATGTGCCAGGTACTATGCTAAGTGCCTTACATATATCGCCTTCTTTAATACTCACCATAACACTATTAGGTTGGTATTAAAATCAAGACCAATAAACATAGTTTTGAAAATAAATTCCCAAGGGAAAAAAATTCATGTAAGAGAGCCTCACTGTAGCATTATTCACAAGAGTGAAAACTGGGTGGGGGGGGTCCAATAAGATGGTTAATTAAATTACAGTAAAGTCATTCAATGGAAAATCATGTAGTCATTGAGATTTTTTTAATACACTTTCTTTTTTAAACCCATTTTATGTTCACAGCAATGCGGAGCAGGAAGTACAGAGAACTCCCATAAACCCCTTCTTCATACACTCACATCCTCCACTATCAGCATTCCCCAGCAGAACAGGACACTTCTTACAACAGATGAACCTACCCTGACACATCATTATCACCCAAAGTCCACAATTTACATTAAAGCTCATTATTGCTGGCAACATGAAAACACTTAAATGTATAAAATTATAGGTAAAAGCATGAATGCATATGGGCATCTCTAGAAACATACAGAAATTAAAGAGTTATTTTGTAAGGTAGTAAAATTATGGATGAATTTAGGAATAGTTTCCAAATTCTCAGTAATGTTCTTTACTAAAAAGGGGTGAGGGAGCAGAAGGAGGGTTACCCCTTCAATTCTGGTTTATTCCAAGAAGAGAGGGAAAACATGAAATGAAAATGATTTTTTTCTTTAATCCTAATGAGGGAAAAACAGAATTTCTAATTGAGAGTTACCATTTACTTTTCTTTCTTTCCAAATAAGGATATTAAAAAATTAGTTAGGATTTTCCTTGTTAGTCCCAAGGACACTTACACTTTAATTCATAGGTATTAAGGAGGCTTTGTAAAACAGACTAAACACAGAACACCTCCCATTACATTACATACATCAATATAATGGTTTATCTAGAACAAAAAGCACTCAAACAGATTCAAAGAACAACCAACAACAATTTCAACTATCTGGGCTTTGGCGCAAATTCTCTTTTACTAGATTACATGATCCTTCTCTTCTCCCATAGCTCCAGGAGTAACCAATGGATTCCTGTGTGATTGTCTCACCAACTGCTATATTTCTGTCCTACCATTATTCATGAGTTAACATTAACACTATTTGAAATACTGAAGTAACTAGGTATCTAGTACCAAGAACACCACCTAGTTTCCCCATACCTACACATATCTATAAATAGACACATTTACTATTTGTTGTTCAAAAAGATTCCCTTGACCTTTAAAGGCATCAATTTTTCCTTTCTTTAAAATGAAAAGATACCAATAAACAACTTTTTGTAAAAGAAAAAAAATACCCTGAAATACTCAAATGTCACTTTTTCAAAGAGGCCTTCTCTGACCATTTTATCTAAAACAGTTTCTTATCATCCCATTATTCTCTATCACAGCAGTAGCCTGTTCATTTCATTCATAGTACTCATTATAATGTACAATTATATATATATGAAACTTGCTTATTTTCTATCACCACTACCAAAAAGAACCATGAGGGTAGAAATCAGGCATATTACCAGAATCAAATACAGTGTGTTAGATATGGGAAACACTCAAATATTTGTTGAATGAACAAACCCAACCACTTATATGGTTATTTCTTATTATTTCCTTCTGTCTTTAATTACATATACGCCATGTATACATTCATTCACCCAAACTTTATTAAACGCCCACAACATGCAAGTCTTTGTGTGAGGTTTTAGGATACAAGCAATTCCTATCCTCAAGCAGCTCATAGTCTTAAGGAGAACAGAAAGAAGACTCACTACACAAGAAACAGAACTAAATATCACATTTTAAAATGGTTAAAGGGGCACCTGGGTGGCTTAGTCAGTTAAACATCCAACTCTTGATCAGCTCACGTCATGATCTCAGGGTCATGGGATCAAGCCCCGCAACAGGGCTCGGCATTCAGTGGGAGTCTGCTGGAGATTCTCTCTCTCCCTCTCCCTCTGCCCCTCCCCTTATTTATGCTCTTTCTCTCTCTCTCTCGCTCATAAATAAATCTTAAAAAAATAAAAATAAAAAATAAAAATAAATAAAATGGTTAAAGATCTTGTACCCCCCCCAACACACACACATACACAGAAGTGTTAGCGAAGAGGCAGAGCAACCAGAACTCTCATACATTGCTGGTGGGAGTGTAAAATGGCACAATCACTTCGGAAAATTACTTGGCATTATCTACATAAGCTGAGTATCACATTCTATAAAACTCAGCAATTCCACTTCTAAGTATATACACCAACAGAAAAGTGTACATATGTTTACCAAAAACCATGTATAAGAATGTTCATAGCAAAAAAAAAAAAAAGAATGTTCATAGCAGCACTATTATTAACAGCTCAAATTGGAAAAAATACAAATCCCATCAATAGATATGTAAACGAGTCATGGTATATTTATGTAATAAAATGCTATACAACAATAAGAATGAATAAACTATTACTACACAGAGCAATACTGATGAAGCAGACATACTGTACATAGAGTACCTACTATATGTTTAAAAGGCAAAACTATTTTAGGATATTCAAAGTGAAGACTGTGATTAACCTTGGCTATGGGTAATGACTGGGGGCTCAAGGAGCTTCCTGGGTTCTATTTCTGGTTCTGGGTGCTGGTTAGTTCACTTTGTAATGATTCATTGACCTGTACACTTATGATTTATGCCTTATCTATATTTTTATTATGCTTCAATAAAATGTACAAAAATGCTTAAAGGTGTGTAATAAACAAATACAGAAATTTGGAGGGGAAAAGAATTACATAGTCATCCAAAAAGACTTCACAAAGAAGCCTTAAGAAGTGGGCAGAATAGAGAAGGGGAGAAGTCAAAGTGGAGGAAGCGCAGTAGAATGGAAAAGCACAGAAGCAGAACAACCAGCTCTGCTTGTCATAAATTTGTTTTGAGAACCAAATAAAACAGTGTACGTGAAAAAGATAAGCAAGCTATAAGGCATAACATAAATGCAAAGACCTATTCCAGACAACTCCAATGATAAGCTCTTTTGCAGGCAGCCCCTCATTAAAATAAATATAAGATTTGACCCTTATTTTTTTCTTTTGCTTTCAGAAAGGTTCTGAAAGTAAAGAGACCTCCCTGATCTGAAAGAAAGAAAGAGGGAGGAAGGGAAGGGAGGGGCGTGGTGGGGAAGGGAAGAGAAAGGAAAAAAGAAAAAAGGAAGAAAAGGAAGGAAGGAAGGAAGGACTCCAGCAATTCTGGAATATCATGGTGTACATAACTGATCCTTTTAGCAAAACTATAAGCTCTCCCAGGGCACAGTCTATCTTATACTTCTTTTATCTTCTGTCCCATTGCTCAATATCATTCTGGGCATGGAGTCAGCACTCAATAAAACTTAGGTGGATTTTTTTCCAATGGTTTTTGTTGTTGTTGTTGTTGTTTGTTTTTTTTAAATAGAAGGACAATCTGGAGAAGGTCCAGAAAAGAACCAGAGGAATGATCAAAGAGATGAATAAAAGGTCCTAGTGGAAGGGTTAAAATGAATTGAGGCTGTTGAGTTTGGAGAAAAAGCAACTGAAGAACTAAGGAGTAACTCAGAATAACAGTTGAGCTGGAAAAAATCTCATAGATCTAAGTCCAACCTTTTCATTTCACAGATGAGGAAACTAAGACCCAGGGAAAGCTTGCAACTTGAGGTAGTTTCAGGACAATTTTTTTTTTAAGTTTCAATTTATACAGTGAGGATAAAACTTACCCAAGTAGCATGAACATAGATAGCAAAAAAAAAACAGCAATTACAATTTACTGAACATCTCCTATATACCCCACACCTATATGCCTGACATTTTACTTAAATTATCTCACAACTCTACAAAGTTGATACTATTTTCTCCCATTTTAGAAATGAGGACACTAGGGGCGCCTGGGTGGCTCAGTCATTAAGCGTCTGCCTTCGGCTCAGGTCATGATCCCAGAGTCCTGGGATCGAGCCCTGCATCGGGCTCCCTGCTCCTCCCTCTCCCACTCCCCCTGCTTGTGTTCCCTCTCTCGCTGTGTCTCTCTCTGTCAGATAAATAAATAAAATCTTTAAAAGAAAAAAAATTTAAAAAAAGAAAGAAATGAGGACACTAAGGCCCAAAGAAGAAAAGTTCATTGAGGGATTAAACATATATTCAGAGCTACCTTCTTTCCCCTATATCAAGCTGCTTTCAAAAACTTAAGTAGAGGTCAATGACATTATGGTCTGCACACTGAACACAAATATCTTAATTTCTAAACACTCCAAATACCACTCTCCAGTTAAAGGAACCAGTGCTCCTTAAAGAAATTGCTGAATCCAGGGCTAAAGAAAAGAAAATACGACATGAACTTGAAACATCTTGTGGT